GAAACATAGTAAAACTGTAGAAACCTTGCCACATTATTCTGTCCACATACTCCCTGGCTTTATCATGTCTACTAGAATGCCACAGGAATAGTGCAGCAAAATATAAAGCCTATTATAACAAACATAGTAAAACTGTAGAAACCTTGCCAAATCATTCTATCCACATACTCCCTGGCTTTATCATGTCTACCAGTATGCCATAGGAATAGTGTAGCAAAATATAAAGCCTATTATAACAAACATAGTAAAACTGTAGAAACCTTGCCCACATTATTCTGTCCACTTACTCCCTGGCTTTATCATGTCTACCAGTATGCCATAGGAATAGTGCAACAAAATATAAAGCCTATTATAACAAACATAGTAAAACTGTAGAAACCTTGCCAAATCATTCTGTCCACATACTCCCTGGCTTTATCATGTCTACCAGTATGCCATAGAAATAGTGCAGCAAAATATAAAGCCTATTATAACAAACATAGTAAAACTGTAGAAACCTTGCCCACATTATTCAATGTAATGCACTATCCCTACATCAACCATGCTTAAAAGGTGGTAGTCGTCACGTCACACATGTGCGAGATATATGGGTCTCGTATAAACAAAGATGGCGACTTAGACCGTTGCGCAGATCAACAAGTACAAACTGAGGCGTTACCAGGCTTTAATTAGGTAATTTTGGGTGATTGGAAGGTATCGAAGGAGTCACCGGCGGTAATCAGTGCAAGTCGCACCCGTGTCAAACCTCATACTTGTGATTTCCATTAGAAGATCGTATTGGATTGTGGAGAAATCAATGTTTATCAACACAAATGTCGCACATGCACAGCGCAACGACCACCGTGCTTTAATACATAACAGCTGATATGAATTATATATAATGGCGTGAAGTAGGTGATGTGTTAACATGTTGAAAAAAAGGGGTTACCTTTTCTCTGGCTTGTTTTCGTATTTCTTTCAATCTCGCATCCAACTCTTGGATAGCTTCTTTATCTGAAATCCAATCACAGTATTGATAAGAAAACTGATGTACAAATATTATGAAGTTGTACATAAAATATGCTGAACAGCAGCTTGGTGACTGATGTGTTGACTCAGGAACACACGAAACATCAAAGAAACCAGAGAGCTTTCAAATTTAACTTCTTGTTTATTCCGCCATTTTCAGTTACACCAACAGCACTACTTTTTACATATCAATACACTCGGGTGATCAGGTGACATATAACGCCATTACAAAAGTATGTATTCTGACGCATGCAATACAGTAGTCCAAAAAACGCCTCAATGACTTTATCAAATAATTCTTAGTTGAGAACATCTAGTCGTGCTTGAGTACATACTTTGCCATATTCTTGTGAAGGTCTCTCCCACAATGCATTGCATATATGTGCAGCAACAATGTAGTGCAAAATTTGAACTTGATCAAACTGCTTTAACAAATATATGTATATGCATATCAAAATGTAGTGATCAGGTGCATTTAACACCTCAAAAAAGCATGTATTCTGAGATTTCAAATAAAGTAGTCCCCACAACTTACCCACAGTTTTGCATCTTTTGTGTGCATACATTAATGCCATAATGGAACATAACATGACCTCAGGTTTGTCTTTTATCGCTTCCAACTCTCTCATACCTTCTGGAATTCGATCTGAAAGCATAAAATAAATAACTATATTACTAAATAATATCATAGGATAAAAATAGTCACCTCCAATGGCTTATGTAAACATCATGACACAAGAATGAAACAATTTATAATGGGAAATTTAAATTATCTATTTTCTGTGTCGGTAGAATGCTAAGTTTTTGTGCTGCTCACACTTACTTGGAATGAGTTTGAAATATTTGTAATGCAGGGCTGAAACTTCCTGGCAGAGCTAGCAAAATTTGAAAGTTACCTGCCCTCAAAATACCGAAAATGAAAAAAAATGAACTCACAATAGCCTTTAACATTTTTGCAGTGGTTCCCAAAGTTAGATTATACATGTGCATTTTCATATCTCAAAATATTGATTGGTAACATTGAAATCATACATATATTATTGATATGAATAATATTGTTAAAAAAAATCTGTTTCCAGTAAGATACTAATTTTCCATTACATACAATAGAAAGTTATCTCCCATAATGCATTGCATATATGTGCAGTAACATGGTCAGTAGTACAAATATTTGAATTTGGCTAACATAAGTTAAATTATTCTACCTTCCAGTACCAAGCTGTATGCCCTAAAAAACAACAATACAGGATCACTGCCATATTTTTTCAGACTCTCAGATGCTGCATTGTACATGTGTCTGTAATACTTCTCTTGGCAATAATAATTCAGACGAGCCTATAAAATAAAACAAACAAAAAAAAAGGTTTATAAATTATCTAATGAATAAGGCTGCATGATTGAATAAAGTATATTTTCCTGTATCCTTTCATGGAAACAAAATTCAACAAATAATGTTTTCCTTGAAGACAGACATTTATCGTTGACTTCTTTGTATACAGCCAAGATATAGTATAGAACACACTGTATGTTTTACAATATACATGTAGATTCAAGCACCAAGTGATCATATACAAGTGTGTATTTAACCATTTTTTTTTTTCACCACCAGTTCCTTTTTTTTCATCACAAAGTCACAAAATAATATTATTACATATGTACTGCAGTTTATTTTGATTCGTCCATGAAATCAAAATCGGTCTTTCCACACCTCATATGCAAATGAGGTCTGAGAGAAACAAAGTAGTCCCTTCAGGAGTACCGTTTTTCGAAACATACATTGTAGCAGAAATAAACAATATGAAGATATTTTTCTCTTGGGGTAAATGAATATACTTGCTGAGTGAAATGAAATTTGAACAACATTAATGGTACCTTTAGCCAGTCACTCGAGATGCGGTATATTCCGCTGTACTTTCACTCGCGAATATGGCTGCAGGATACACCACATCACTCGTGAAAATAACTTCTATATGCAACAAAAGCCCAGGGAAGGGTGTGGGGTTCTGTCATATTACTTTTCTTCAGAGGATTAGGACAAAAACAGCCAAATTTGTCTGTTGGCTCTAAAATTAGAGTTCATTTCCAGAAATATTGAAGAATACGTGTACAAGAAAAATATGCAGACAAATTTGAGCAAGAAGGTCTGGTGGTGAAAAGACTAGGCTAAAACTGTATTTGCTCTACTGTAAAGTACATGTATTTTATTTTCACTCAGAATTTATTTCGAAGGATTTTTTGGGGATATTTCCATGCTGCACAGGGTATTCAACTGCAATATTCCCCTGTCAAAATAAAGAAATTCAATTCTATTTTTTTCGGCAGACATTTGGTGCCTGTCTTTCACACAATTCGCGAGATCTCACAGTTTAAATAAAAGAGCGTTGTTGCAGGCAAGTTACCCACAGAACTCATAAGCCGAACAGTGGAACTTGGGTGAATTTAAGGTGAGTCCGTGACCAACATAACCGATAACTCAGGGGTTGTTTCATTATTATATAATGGAGAATGTATCATCATCAGTTACAGCATGTCGTAATTGAGGTATCTGCATTTTACCATATAAGGAAATCATGGGAAAAACGCCAAAATATAAGCTAAGCCAAGATGGCTAATGCTTTTGGAAACAAAGTCCAAAGCGAGAAAGTTTTAATAATAATTTTTACTATTTTGCTCAGCTCTGGGCGTTTTAAACTGAGTGTTTGGTTGGAGAAGATGTATAATAATACGGTTGTTATGAGGATACTGCAAAGTATGCACTCAGACAGTACACTGTCGCATTTACCTCTACTACATGCCAGTCAATACTCACATTGTACTGTATACTTTAAGGCATCCCAGGAATAACCCTTTAGTAATATATGGAATTTCAATCTGTTGCATCAATGAAGCAAGATAAAATGGAGATGGGCAACCATGGCAACACCAAGAAGAATATTCCGTGAGACGTCTCTTGGTGTGTTGCATGCTTTAGTTGACAATGCCATCTCTGGGTCAACGAATTTCTACCATAATGTTAAGGTGGATGAGTTCATTTATCAAAATATTCATGGTAAAGAACTTGTATTAAAGCGGGAGGGTAGTCACCTTCGCACGTGTGGGAATTGAGTCCCAAGCAACGATAACAACTCATGCTAAAAACACAAAGGCTCTTAGATAGACGTATGTTTGTAAACAATGACACGCTATGGCCATCTGACGCACGCGCAGGTGACGACACCCCTCGCTTTAAAGCCTTTTTTTTTTTCAACAAAACAAATCATAACCTTAATTTTTTTTATCAATATTTATAAATTTCAATAGTGGTTGTTAAACACTAACAACCAATCAGAGTGTGCAACAATGTAACTTGAAAATGTTCCTTGTGTCATTCCATCGACAAATCTCTGGTTCCAGTTTGAATTGTGAAATTTTTAAATATTTATAAAAATTGGGGGTAATGTTTTTTTGTTGTCAACAGTATCTTGGTACAAATTATGCATTTGTTTGGACGTGGGAATATTGGCACAGCTCGCATATGTATACCGGTAGTGTTATAGTTATAAGAAGGGGATTTCATGAAATACACTTACCAACGATAGTGTGTCCGAATCAGCCATATCTATTCAGCGATAAATTCACCGTCAGTTAAGTAGAATCAGCAGCCAACAAGTAAAAGTTACAATATTATTATTGTTGATGATGGGAAACGTTGATGAGAGCAAAAATAAAAACTTCCGCTGTTGACGACGCCGGGTGCTGTTTTGGTAACGAAACGAAGACAGCAGAAACTCGATATTAATAGTCTGTAATCTGAGCAACGATTCGAATAACTACTAGAACGTTTCGCAGATGAGACTTGTCCAATATTTCATTTACAGCGCAAGTTCCCTGATAATCTTCAATATTTAGGCAGACGACTGAATGAACCGCTTTGAAACTCGTAGAAGAATCCGAGAATGTGCGCCTGCGTAGGATTTAGATTCGGTCATTTTAAGTTGTAGGGGAGGAAAGTTTGCGAGAACAAAATATATACAACGATAAATACGAATCAAGAAACGAACGAGCAGGATATGTACAAATTTAACTTATTTAATTACTCCTAGTAACTTTAATATTGACAGAAAATATAAAAATATGCATGCATCAAATTATATTCACACCCACACACCCGTACTTGTAATGAACGATTCCTTCCTCTCGCGAGAACTTGCGAGATCGACCCAGATACCAGAGATTCAAAATGGCTGCCTCTAACAACATTAGAGTACCGTTTCACGAATAAATGACGGATCTGACCAATTTGACATTTTATTAAGGTATTTACTCTTTCAATTCCTAGATCAGTTGTTGGCAGACTCGAACGATGAGTTCTGTGTCACAGAAATCGACAGAGGACCTGCTAACACGTTTATTCCATCGTAACACGGGTTGTTTACACCGTTGTCAATGAAATACCGATGACACCGTTATGTCCTAGACCACAGTTGAGGGACTGTGCCTAGACATACAGAACTGGTACGCCGCCTACCGAACTGGTACATTTGATTAGGCGTTGATAGAAACCAAACAGTTTGTTGACCTCAATTTTTAAAATATATTTCCTAGTCATTTTCTTGTTTTTGTCAGCACTGACTGAATTACCCAATTTATTGCACTTATATTGACCGCAAGTGAGAATGGAACGGCAACTCGCAGTACGAGACACTATTTTGCAAAACAAAAACACAAAGTGTTACCACAGGGAACAATGCCAACATCTTGAGAAATATAACTATCCTCGGGGGCGGAGCTACGTCACAGACGTTCCACGTTGCTAAAACGCGCACCACTGTACCATGCATTTCTGTGGTCTGTGGCAATATTGCCGTTCCATACTTTCTTGGAGTCACAGTAATTCCCACTCGGCATGGACGGTTTTTATGGTAATTTATATTCACCCCGGAAGTAGTTACAGTTCTCTAGCCCTTGGGTTTGCTGCAGTTCTTGTTGTCGATAGAGTTAATACATCTGCCGTGGAGTGATTGAAAAAGCAGGGAGCTACAAGGGCAATCTCAATCAGTGGTACATCGGGTATTTTACAACGAACATCTAAACAACAGAATGTTAGCGATGATACTCTCATTCAAATCATGGAGGTAGAAAAGAGAAGGAGTGAGAACGCTATTTAAGCCCATGTTAATCTTATAAACATTCTTTGTCTTCGG